ACCTCCGTCTCCGCATTTTTGCCATCTTCGTCGGAGCTTTTGTATTCCCGCTGTGAACCATGGCGTAGACCTATGTTTTAGGTACTGTGTAACAGCAGATATCAAAGCCGCCCTGGTCTTATATTTCTTTCCAGCAAGCAATTGTTTCAGTTCTGGAAACAAATAAAAGTCACAGGGGCGAGGTCTGGGCTATAAGGAGGGTGAGACAACAATTGCCATTTGTAAGAGTTGCGGCGGTATGGAGGGGGCGTTATCGTGAAGAAGGAGGACATTTTTCTGTGCTAACCTGGGACGCATTTGCTTCAGCTTTTCTCTGAGATTTTTCAGAATTACTTCAGAATAGTACTTGGCGGTGACAGTTTGACCTTTTGGCATGAAATGAGTAAGTATCATTCCTCGTGAATCCCAAAAGGTAACAAGCATGACTTTGGCAGCCGAAGGAGACAGCTTAAACTTTTTAGGAGGTGGGGAACCTGCTCGTTTCCACTGCTTTGACTGAGCTTTTGTCTCAGGTTCGGAATAATGAACCCACATCTCATCTCAAGTGATAATGCGATTCAAAAACTTATCTCCTTCACGATTAAAACGACATAAATGTTCTTTTGCATTGGTTACTCTGTTTGCCTTTTGATCTGCGGACAGCTGTCTAGGCACCCACCTGGCACTTACCTTGCTCATGCCTAGGTGTTCGTGTAAAACCTTGTGTGCCGATGCCTTACCGATGCTAAACTTGTTGGCTACCTCCTCCAAAGTTACACGACGATTTTTGTTGACAAAAGCTTTAACATTTGCTACCATTGTTGGGGTCACCGCCTCAGCTGGCCGCCCAGTCCTAGGCCTGTCACAAACACTTGTTTCTGCCTTCACGAAACTGAGAAACCCAGTTGTAGGTTGAACGTGATACACATTTATCAGAAAATCTTTTTTAAGCCTCTGAAAGATGTGGCAGAAACTTTATTACAGAGCGTTGTTCCTCTAACAAAGAGTCCATGATAGACGAAACACCTATCATTTATCAGAGGGCAAAATACTGTGTATACACAACTATCATTGAAAATAAACTGACCACGTTATTGGCGAATGAATGTAGTTTTCACCAATATATAATGTGTGTATATAGCTGCACGTGGAAAGAGAGGAGCATGAAAAGTCCTGATATTTTCTGACCGCCCCTCGTATATTATAAAGATGAATCGTTCTATGGTTGATTCAATTAATATTTCTTAAACTATTCTTAAATATTGACAATTTAGATTTCCTTTACGAAACAGTTACTGAGTAAAATGACAGGTTAGTGCTATTCCACGAAAAAGCAAATAAATAAATAAACAAAATAAAAAAAATAAAACAAAAATAATTGTTTCTGTGTGATCATGCGTAATGTTTCCTTCTTCGTATTTACCTGACTGGGAATCAGAGCTGCGTCGTATCCTGTACGCAAAATGTAAACAAACGCCGCCATCTTTATACGAAAATGGTATGTTTTTGTTTATAACTATTTTTGTTGAAAATGACTGAATACCAGATATATGTATTAACACTCTACACTTTTTTCCGCTTCGTTCGGTATATGTTGCTTGCAAAACTATAAGGTAAAACAAAAGCTATAGCGAACTTGAAACTCCAAGCGGACCAGACATTTTATGAATTTGTGTGGATAGGACGCAGTTCATATTGCTTTATCCATCGTTTTTTCCCATTCTCGTTTCGGAATTTACCATAAACTTCAAAATACAATTTTGCGTCATTTACTAAAATATCATGGAAAAGAGGTGTTCATTTTCCAAGAAAATAATGATTTGTGCGAAATGATACGACGCAGTTGAAAATAAAATATGATATGACCCAGTTGTATTTCTGGCAGTCTTTTCATCAGGGATACTTTTGGCAATATAAGTCTTTTTTTTTTACCGAATAATCACTTGCGCTTGATAAAATAAAAGATCATTTGTGGATAATTGCAATGCTCTGTTGCTTTTGAATATTTAGAATACGTTGTTTTATTTTTAATATAACATTTAATTAATTTGAAAGATTGCATTGCGGAAGCGACTTTCAGTTAAACATGAGCATGCTACTTAATAATAATTTCTTATATCTTTGTGCATTATTTTACCTGCAGAGAACCATCGACATTTTGAAGCTACTTTGATAGGTTTTCCACAAGAAAAAAAAAACTAAAGTCCCTGATGGTTTTCGAATTCACAGCATTTCAGGGCAAGTGATTTGAAGTCATTTAGCATAAACAACTTATCCTCGGTCGGACACACCACTCTGAATTGTTTTTTTGTTTTTTTTTTCAACACAAAATTTGTTAACCTTTGATTAAAAAGTGAAGTTCCACGGTGCTGAACATAAAATGACTGAACGAAACGCATACCTTACTTGAAAAAAATACCATAGCTTAACCATTTATAATTTTAAAAATTTAATGTTCATTTCAGAGAGGAATAATACTTTATTTCAAATACCGATTTAAGTTTCAAATAATAAAGCTCATCTGTTCTCACTTAATAACAAGAAAATCGGCGCGTAAAACACATTATTATAATAACGGAATTGTCGGGAATTGTTGTTCATGATAACAAAGGTAGGCATGCAGTTTGTGCATACCTCTCTTCCGATAGCAAGAGACTTTTTTTAAAATATTGTCATTCTTTCTTTTTTAAAACAAAGGTCATTCCGGACTGATACAGCGTCAATGAAAGGTTAACCTTGAATTTTAACAGCTGAACAAATATATCGTGTACAGCCTACAATGAAAATACAACTGCGTCCTGTCATATTTTATTTTCAACGTGGTCGTGTGATTTGGTACAAATCATTATTTTCTTGGAAAATAAACATCTCTTTTCAATGAAATTTTAGTAGAATGTGCAAATTTGTATTTTGATATTTATGGTAAACTCTGGAATGAGTATATACAATGTAATTGATTTGAAGGGGGAAAAACGATGGATAAAGCAATATATGAACTGCGTCGTATCCACTTTAAATATTAAAACGTTCTTCTAATTCTTAGACATCTTTTAAAAAGAAGTATAAAACATATCTTGCAGATCAAATAAATATCTTCATAACTCTGTCATAACAATGTCATCATGTTGTCATAATTATTATGCATGTATATTTTGTTAAAATATTTTTAAATGAAAATTGTATAAATGATATTTAATATCTAAAAGGAGCGTTCGTCATGAGACAAAGTCTTAATCTTGTTATTGTTTTATGATGTTTTGTGTCTATATATTGTTTAGAAGGCCACATTTAAAATCGAAATATGTTACTTGTTTTCTACGACGGTAAATTATCATGGCTTACCTTCTTTAAATAAATATATTATTATTATTATAAAAATAGAAGCCCGCTTCGAGTTAAAAGTTTGCTATAATTGTTGTTTTACAAAATAGTTGTGCAAGCATCATATACCGAGCAAAGCGTGTGAAAGCATACATCTGGTTTTCGGTCATTTCCAACAAAAAAGTAATAAACAAAAACACACCGTTTTTGTTCCAAGATGGCGGCGTTTGTTTACTTTTGGTAGGATACCACGCAGCTTTGATGCCCAGCTCTGATTAAAAAAGATGTTTTATACTCGGAAAGTTTTGTCGCGCTCAACCTTTACTGTCCACGTGTGTATGAACAGGCACCTGCAATATTTCCATTGTTGCTGTTATGGGATTTATTCAGTAATTCCATTTAATGTTGTTTGGATTTTTTTGTATTAGAAAAATGAATAATGATAGGCAGAGCACTGTGATAAAATACAACGTAATGAAATAACAGCAAATAAAGCGAATGTGTTTAATCCCTTTCTTTTACTAGTTCATTTGTGTTGCAAGAAGTTTCAAAATAACTGCATAGAATAGCATAACTGAAATGATGTAACCACCCAACGTAGCTTCATAAAACACAATCTGACGCCTGGTCAACTAGCAGTACTGACCACCCTGTTTGCACCAATATAAATGTCTTTATTTACTACACCTTCAGCGTCTTGTTGGCCATTTAGAACTAAATGACGATTATGGCAACCGGAATGCAGTAAGGCATAGCCATTTGATCAGATATTTGTTCTTGATCCAGAAATTAGACAAACTAACAGGGTAAATTAAAGCATTTCACACATGACTGAAAAGAGATGAATATATCAGTAAATATTTATTATTAAACTCATACCCATAAACGTTGGGGAATTATCATGGCTATTTACACGTGCGTACCAGTATTGTAAAAGTAAATATTACATATTTATATTCTATACTTCACCGGGAAGAGTATATCAATATAAGTAAGATACGAGCATTACATATCTAATGTTTTGTCTCTAAATTTCCATTGACAAAAGTATTTTGATAGGAATAACACCTTACTTTTGCAATAGTTTGCATGTATTTCATGTATTTGTTTAATTGTTTGTCAAGGCAGTGATTTCTTCACAATTTTTTTGTTGCGAGATTTGCCATTTTCATCAAAACTAGTGTTTAGTTACATACGTTAAGAAGAAAACTAGTATCAAATTGAGAAAAGGTAACATAATTGGTAACATATTGAATATATTGGCCATAAATAAGCCGAAGCTCCTTAAATGATTTGATCATTCGCCATGTGTTTAATACAAATTTTAAAGCAAATACTAGTATTCAGATTTTCATAAATTATAAACATCACATGTGCATACCTCTTCTAAATTCGTTCCATAGTCGTTTGGGTAGAATACATTTTAATTTTAAAATACAGTTGGTAGAATACATTTCAATTTTAAAATACATTTTAGCTAGTCATTCAAAGAATGTACAAATACCTGCTCTGACAGGTTATACATTTAAAATTAAAATTCTTATAAATCTTCAAAAAGTGCAGAAAATATTTAGAAATAATTGTACAGCAAAATGGTCGTCAATACTTTAAGGGTCGTTGTGCTTACATTTTATTAACGTACCCGACGGTTCGTGCTCTCATTTGAAATTAGAGATGTCAATAATTACAAGACAAGAGTTAAAACTTAATATTTATTAAAGCTATACTTTATTGCACAATGTCACATGATCGGATTCAGTGTTTCTCTTTGCTGCTGCGTCATTCTACAAGTTAGTCCAGAGCTAAGCAAGCCTCGTACCCATAATGTTTATTGCTACACCATGCAGCCGGGACATCATGGTAATAGAATATTCCGAATGAATTAACACCAATGTTATATATATTTGCCCAAAATTTACAGAAAACCCCGGCTCTTGCGTCCGTCTCGCAAGTCTCGTATAGGTCTTCGTGGAATATGTTGTCACATACTTGTTGAGTGAACCTTACTTCCAGTCCCTGGAAAAAACGTTTTAGGCATGAATAAATACTAACACATAATGTTCAATTTATAAAGAATCTAGAAATTCTAATCCCCGCGTACACGGCATCTATAAGAAAAAAAGTCAGTGTGTGTACTATTATTTACCAGTAATCAGGAAGTTTTAAGAGCCTGCACTCTACAATGGTCAATGACTGACGTTGATTTTGTGTATCGTTGATCGTTAATAGCAAAATATTCGTCTACTGTATACCGCTGTTCTTTTATTTTATTCACGTACCCACCTGTTCGTGCTCTCATTTAAAATTCGAGATGTCAATAATTATATTCTAATTAAAATGCCTAATGAAATATTACATTACAACTTTTATTAAAAGTGTATTTATGTACGTATTTCATAAAAAAAACGCACACTTATAATTAAAAGTTCTTAAAAACATAATAATTGCAATAGAATGGAAGATGTACATTTACGTAAAACATACTTAATGGGCATAAATTAATATTTTTCATTATTGCAACTCTCGTTAAATTCAAATAAACAAAAAACTTGTATAGAATGAAATCGAACATGAATTTTTCATTTGAAAGTAAAAACTGATATTGACACCTTTTTTCCACTTACTGCATACAATATAGAAACTGTTTTATGTTTGCTATTCCGGTATAAACATACAATATAGAAACTTCTTTATGTTTGCTATTCCGTATGAAATGTACTGTATCGAAGAATAGCAACAAAAATCGCAGTATCATTCGCCATGTACTATGTTGATTTTTTTATTATCTCATACCCGTGCCGTTTTGCGACTCCGTACAAATGGTATTGCACCGCCGTGCATATATTTGACGTGATGTCATTTGCGTTAAAGGCACGTCAATGAAAATGTTTCTTTTTCACTTCAAACGGTCTTTATTTTTGGTATGTGGATAAATAGAATATTAAATTCGTGTAAGTTCATTACTGACTTTATTGAACTCGTTGGATACAATAATATTATGCTCGCTAGAGGCTCGCATAATATATTTTTATTCAACTTGTTCAATGAATTCAGTATTAAATCTACACTCATTCAATTACCTCTATATATCTGAGAAGATTTAACCGTCTAAAACCTAAATGTTTTACAACTGAATATATATTTATACTTACACACGAGTAGCAAACATCATGTCTGTGACAATCAGGTTCAAATAACAATTTGTTTGGTACAAAGCTCAAAACAGAACATCCGTTCGTTACCGGGTTTTCAGTACAATTAAAGGACTAGATTCGCTTATGCATGAAATATGCCTAAATATTTTGTATTTTACAAAACTTCAAATTTTCAAGAAATGAAACAATTTTCTGGAAGAACACCTTTAGCTTGTTGATATAAATGAAAAACAGTAAAGATAATACGTCTGTTCCGTGCAATAAAATACGCTTGAAGTAAGGGCTAAAACCCGTTTCCGGTATTTTGTATCAGTTTTTCGACGATAAATTGAAAAATTTGAATAGGGCACAGGTCTCGACCAAAAAACAAAATACGTCATTGTCATTGTGAGTATTTATAATTTACAAAAACGTATCAATAATTTTGGTCGAGGCTGTGCCCTTTACGAAAATTTATATTTTCCTTCCCTTGGTGTCTGTGCAAAAGCAAATCGAATGCATAGAAGATCAAAGATTTAAGCTGTATTTTTATAAATTTTTAACTTGTTTTTTGCGGTCAAGCAATTGAGATCGAAAGCAATTATCATTAGTCAAATAAAATATGTCTTCTTTTCTGTCATGTTTTGTTAACTTATTGAATGAAAAGTGAAAATCCAGGCGATGATGACAACGACGACGACAAAACAACAAAGCCATTGTTTACACTTTACCTAGTAAATCTATACTACTGTAACGCTGACAGGGTTTAAAAAGCAGTCAACCGTTTGTTTGTTTTTTTTGTGAGCATTTATTCTCGGATCTAGGAATGTATTCCAGTCCAGATATGACTTTGTGATAACCGTGACAGGGAGTTTCCAAGTAAGTATAATTTTATCCATGAAAATTGTCGAAATCTGTGTTTCGTCTGCATAATTTATAAAGTCGAACATTAGAACATTATCCAAGTAAGAACTCAGTATTAAATAGTTTAGAAAAAGTGTGAAGGTAATGTATATATTTTATCAGGTAATTGCAGAGATAACAAACTGAAATATGTGTCGAAAGAGATAGAATATTTTAATTTAAAGCATCCAATCCGTTTACTTTTATTTAGTCACGTATCGACTTTAAGTAGTAATTGTAAAACGTTTTGATTTCAGTTGTGGCGATGGCGTAGTGGTTTAAGTGCCCGGCGCATGCATGTTTTATATGACTGATCAGATCCGGCTAGTGGTTCGACCCCTGAACAAGGTACATTTTTTTTCGTAATTATTAAGTGACAGATTATTATTTAAATAATTGTTTATTAAATAAGTGAAAAAAATTATTAAGTATTAAATGAGAGTTTATTATTTAAATCATTATTTATTTCATGAGTGAAAAAAATAATTAAATTAAAAGTTTATTGTTAGTTAATAAAACCAAAATACAAGAGGAAATATTTTTATTTTTTCTGTCAAATCATTGATGTACTAAGTATTTTTTTCAGGATGCCTGGATCGGTCCAAAGTTTTATGCCTGTGCAGTGTGCAAGAAAAAAGAACTAAACCAAAAGAAAGAAGACACATAAGCAAACCTATAAGAAAATATCTTCAAAAACGGTTATTTGTTGATGTTAAAAAGACAATGAATAATTGTAACAAATGTAGAACATAAATACTATGCATTAGAATCATCATCTTTACAAGAAAAGACAGCAACCATTCAGATCCCAGATTATGTTCCATCTGTTTTCACTTCTCAAAATCAAAGGGGAACCAAAACACCGACTAGTCCGCCATCGGTATCATTAAATATAAAACTACCCGAGTAAAACACATTCAAAAGATGTTTAGTCTGCAAGAGAACCAGGGCAAAAATTAGTTGTTCTGTTCTTCAGAGGCCAGATTCAATGTGTTTATAGAACAGAACGTACTCATACCTGCTGGTTCTAGGTGCTGTCCAGTACACATACATGAAGGCTTGCTTTGTTCAGATTCTCTAGAGAATGGTGCCGATAATAGAAACAGCATTTCTAAACAGGACTTCTGTCCTGAAAACTTATAAAACATTTAAGAGAAATATGCTGCTGCAACAAAACAAATTGAATTTTGAATGTCTTAAACGACGTAGAATATGGAAACTTAACAGGGCTTCACGTTCTCAGTTTTGATGATGTGTTTTCGTCAGTTGCCGAACAAAATTTATAACTCTCGGCATCACGTTCTTCCAGAACAACTCTAGGAATTTTTTCTCCTGAAGATGAAATCGGGCTTGTCTAATAAGCTATTGTCTACTCTATTTGGAATAGCAAGTCAAGTGTACGGAGAGCGATTGTTTGCCGACAAAACATGCGATGATGAGAGGATTTGTGCCGTTTATATCTTGGTTTTGAAAGCATAACAAGGGAAGATATTTATCAACCATCACACTAGACCTTAGCCAAGTCCCTTTTTTTTGATGCAAATGATGGGAAAGTTATTTTAGTTCTTGATGGAACTTATGTTATGATTCAGAAAAGTAATAATTTTAGCTTTCAAAGACGTTCAATATTCAATGCACAAAAGGTCGTCCATTAGTGAAAGCCCATGGTTATTGTTACAACAACCGGATACTTGTTACAGTGATGGGGCCCTTATTTTGCTGATTCAAAGAACAATGATGCTTCTATCCTGAAATCATATGTGAAAACAAATACTGAAGAGATAAGGGATTTTTTCAGGAGGATGATATTTTTGTTGTTCGATAGAGGTTTCCGTGATTCTCTTGAATTTTTACAAGATTTTAGGCATTAGGGGTGGAAATGCCTTCATTTCTATCCATAGGGACAAAAACAGATTTGACTTGTGATGATGCAAACAATAGTAATTTGTAACCAAGGTATTCGTTTGAAAATAAATGTTACAGTACTTTATGAATTATTTTCTAGTAAAGACTGTATTACTATTATAGATCTACATAGATAAAACACAGTTTATCTTAATCTTAATGTTTTGTTAAAAACAATGACTGCTTCCAAGTTATTATGTGATAATCGTTAAGATTGATTTCCATTAATATCTATTGATATAACTAAGAATATTAAAAATTTTTGTTGGTTCTACTGAAGTGAATGTAATTTTGACATTTTTAAAGCAATACTTTGTTCTATGCTTTTAAGAAATTTCACATATATGCGCACTGATATCAACTGAATATACAGTTATGTTATTTTGTTGTTCTTCGTCTTTTACAGATTCGGCTGGGTTGTAGAATCGGAATGCCGGATTAAAAGTTGGAAATATTTTAATATTGTTCTCCCAACTAATCAAATCCCATACATTGGTGACTACATAAGAATAGTTTGCGCAATATGCAACAAGTATTTTTAAAACCACTTTGCAATGCTGATAGTGAGACGATTCACGTTTGGCCCCAAGATGCGTGCATTATCATCAAACGCAAACATATTAAAATCTTATGTTGAAGATAATAATCTTGAAGAAGATCAGCTTTATGGAAACCTGTGGACGACTCATCATTGCATACTTTTCCAAGGTTTAACGAAGAAAGTTGAGATCGTTGACGTGTGTGGCGTATAAAACTTAAAAAATGTCATCAAATGTTATATACAGGAACATTTAGATGGAATACTGTGAAATCCATGTCCACAATGATGATTCTGATTTGATCCGGGACGGAATCCAAGTCGGCACACGTCATCCAGGAAATATTCTGTTATGGATAAGATTTTCTGCTGCAGATATTGAAGCTTGGTATTGCAAATGTCGTGCTGGAGAACGTAGTTGTTGGTATGTGCTTCAAGCATATTGCCTCTGTTGTGTGGTATTTAAAGTTATGCAGCATTTACAATGTCAGAAGTTTGGTACACAACTGGGGGAGAGTATCTTGCAGATGCTGGCAAAATACCAGAGACAATTAGATGAAACTGACTCTGATAACAGACGTTAGTGTTATAGAAGAATAGTGGACTTTGAACACTTTGTTGTTTACATTCTGCTATTTTCGCAGGGCTCTGCAACAATTAAACTGCAGTGAAGTAATAATTGTAAGATTTTTCTTTCACAAATGATTGTTATAACAGTGGAAGTACAATTAATTAAGTCAATTTAACTTACGTTAATTGATTTTAAACATATTTTTATTGCTCTTTTTGTACACATTTATAACGTTATATTATCATAATATAAACACAAAAGTAGCAAAACGGTTTGAAACACGAGTTCTTACAACATCAGCAAACGGTTTTCCCTGATATATTGAATTATCTTATAATAATAATAATGATAATGATAATAATAATAAGACAGTTACAAACCAAATTGAATGATAGTACTAAACCAAATTGAATGATAGTACTTGTGTTATTGATGTAATGTATTTACATATAATTATATTGTATTTATATATATGTATTTAAGAAAATAGTATACAACAATGACGGCTTCATAACATTATAGTGACCAGTCAGACAGCCTGACTGAAGCGGAAGGCTAATGTCCGTGCTAATGTCTGTTTGATGTTTCGGGCTGACTGGGAGGTCAGTAAAATGCTAAGAGTTGTTTTGAGTTATTTCTTATTTAATATAACTTCATTGTAAAAGTTGGAAATCATATTGTTTAAATCACAAACAATCTTTTAAAATGCAATGAAAATCATTGGCATTCAGCTTATATTACGTGCGCTTTTTTTTATTTTTCACACCGTAACACATTATAATAGTCCTCGCTCAGACGGTAATTTTTTTTTCAGACCGCTGACGTCATCGTGAATAGTATACCCAGTAAAGGCCCCTTTATGTACCCGAAATGCAATACTTTCATTTTTATTTCTCAAAATATTTTTTAGTTTCAAACAAGTTACTCATTGGTCTTCTTCTTCTGTTACATTCAGCCAATAAGTACATATATATTAACTTAGTAATTTTTATGGAAGTCAAAATATTACTTGTTTTCATTACTGTTTTCATTGCTACACTAATGACATATTAGTATTTACCGGTCTTTTGTTTATGTAACAAGCATCTTATATGCTCTAAACCATTATTTAAAACGTATAAAAACATCTTTGATCTTTTTTTAAAAAAAAGGTTAATATTATTCATTTCTGAGTCATACTGTACCTTTAAAAATCCGCTGACACAACATATC